TACTTTAACTGTATATTACCTAGTGAAGTCACCATGAAGCAGCGTTGTTTGGGACATATCATTTCTGTAGCTTGATGCATTTATTGTTTGATCAGTCTGTAAAATAGATGCGGACAAGTTCAAAAGTGCAAAATAAGTGATGAGTGAAACAGTGATTTAATTTGAAAGGATAGATTCATGATCTTAATAGATTTATTGGCTTGTTTGTAGCTTGCAGCGATCTGTTGGCACATCTTCAGGGAGGTATTTTTATAAAAGAAAACCACCATTTATTTCCTCAAAGAAATAAGAGAAAGTCAGAGTATTGGCTTGTTGACAGTAAGAAAAATGGTTTGTCTGCAGCCTTTTCCATATAAATGTATATATATTTTGTGAATGCATGCTCAGTTTTATTACATATTCCTGAAAAAGCAAGTATTTGCTTTCATTAAGACTGAATTTAGCAAAATATGAAATACGTCTGTAGGTGTATCCAACATTTTGGAGTCTTCTCGTATTTTTATTATTAGCTGCTGCCAGAGATTTATGATAACTGGTGTCTGGAAAACACACAATCAAGAAGACAGAAGCTGTTTTTCTTCATTCCTGTGAAACTCCCTTTAAGTTTTTCCATTCAGTCCCCACAACAGACTGCTCTGCTCCTGTGATATTATTGTTGGTGTTCTTTCCAGGCCCGATACGTGCACATTAACCCAATTATCGCTATTATGGTTGTAATTTGAGTTTCTCCACTTCAGAGCTCTGAACATGGTTTCACCTCAGGCGTGGCAGAGTGTTCGAAAGAGCCAAGAGAGTTTGGAAACTGACCTCCACAATAATGGAAAGGCCTTCTCTGTTTTTAATTTAAGTGCTTGTTTTAGCAAGAAGCTCCAGTCTAATAGAATAAGGTGGAGTAACCGTGTCACAGGTAATGAAATGATAATAAACAGCGAGGAAATGCAAAGAAAATGTCTTGTTTTAGTAAAAACAAGCGAGAGGAAGAAGGAAAAAAAAATGTGGGAAAGGAGCGTGACTGACAGAAACCTGCCGGCTCTGTTTGCTTTTCGATGTTGACTCATGTCAGAGGGGTTCAGGCGAGATCAGCAGGATAAGAAAGAGTCGAGGCGTGACTGCAGAAGATGCTCTGCTCACCAAAACCTCTTCCCTCCTAATGCATTTCTTCGCCTCCTGCAGGCAGCTTGCAGCCTAATGTGTGGTTCTGGGAACACTGAAATGAGATTTTCACTTTCAGTCCAAGTTGCACCAACAAAAATGTTTTGAAAAGCCGTGACTGAAAGCTGTCTGTATTTAAAGTTCCAGTGCAGAATGACTTTGAGGTTTATGATTACTGCACCTTTTAAGTTGAAAATGACAGGGAATTCCCCTTTTGCAGCTTCGCTAGGAAGAACCATGAGCAGTGAAGGAGCTGCAAACCGCTTTTTTTTTTACCTCTGTGGATACTGGGGAAAGTGAGTCACACTGGATAGCTGTATTTTACAGGTTTTTTATTTGTTTGTTTAAAAAAAAAACTGCTACTACTTAAACTTTTTCCCTTTTATTACTTTTTAACATTAAATTGTGATCTACTAATTAGGCTTTTTTTTAAATAATAAAAATAAATAACTTGAAAAAAAAGGCTCTTTCATGTCAAAGTGAAAACAGATTTCTACAAGGTAATGTTGAATAGTTACAAATCTAAAATAAGTATTGTAGTGTAAAGACACACTAAAAACACTGTATCTGGACAAATGAACACTCATAGTGACTCAATCATATTACTTTTTGTTTTTCTAATAATTAACAGTACTTCATAAAAAACAAGTTTTCATTTTGGCATGAAACATTGTTTTGGGTTTTTGGGGGTAAAGTCTTATCAAAATCTTTTTGTACCGTACTTAAACCACGGATTAGAAAGGTTCTCTTCTATTTAAACACAGAAAACATGAATTATGTGGTAAATATTTGGAAATATATGGAAATATGGTGTTTTTTGTTTTGATTGTTCATTTTTTTCATTTCACTCCGTTGTATGTTTTGTTAAATGTTTGCAAATAAAAAAAGAAAAAGAAGAAAAAAAGAAAACATGAATTAGCAAAAGCATTTCAACAAAACTTTTTTTTTTTTTTTAATTTTAGTCCTAAATATCGGCTGCCAACCTCATTAATTACAAATAACTGGTATCAATCTAATTGGAATTCTGAAAAAAAAAAAACCCACACAGACCAACATGCAGCTCTTTGCTTTGCACTGAAATGACAATAAAATAAGTTAGGACAGTTAGCTTCTCAAACGTGACGACTACCTGCTTCTACATGTAGTTGATCAATTGATATATTTTCCCCACAGCTTGGTGGAGACCAAATCAGAGCTAAAAAACAAAGGAATCAGTCATCAGATCAAACACAACTCTACATCTCTGATATTGTTGGTCATGTCATTGTGGTGTTTAATTAAGTGACCGTTTGCTCACATGGTTGACATATCAGTTTAGAACGTGCATTCCAGACTTGTTTAAAATGTGTTTTTCTGCTGTACCCAAGTGGCATAAAATACAGTTATCAGGCAGTTTTTACCTGTAGGAGCTTCAGACAGGCATGAGGTGGTGCAAACATTTTCAGGAGCTTTTGTGTTTCCATTGATGTAGACAAAATAGTTGCTACTGGATCTAACTCTAGTTCTGTTAACGCGTAAGTAAACTTTATCTCCTCTAAAAACAGAGTTCCTGCTGCAGAAAACAGATTATTGTTGCTTTATAACTATTGCTTGTTGTAAAATGAGCAGCTGTTTGCTCGCCAGTTTGACATATTAACTGAAAAGTTGCTTGCAATACTTGTTTAAAACTTTTTTTTTACTGCACCCAAGTGGCAAAAAAAACAGAGTTGTTGCAGGTTTAGCGACATATATTTGCCTTTTTGTGCTTGTAGATCTGTGGAACAAATGTTGGGAAACAGTAGCTGCATCGGATGTAGGTTTTGAGTGCAGGTTTCATGTGTTTCGGGGGGTTGTCCGGGGTAAACTCATGACTTTTCCTCACGTGTTTTTCTTGTTTTGATGGAAAAGCCCATTAAAGATGTAGCTTTCCTGGAATGTAAGCATGTCGGAGAGATGGAAAGCTTCTCTCAGCCTGTTTACTGCACCTCTTCTGATTTACCGTTTTCGAACCTTTGCGGGCGACGACGAGTGTTTCTGCCCCGACCCACTGTGAGAACCTGGATGATTCTGCTGCAACCTTTACGGCTTTTCAAACCCACGCCAGTGGTAGAAACATCCGGCGGTTTTCTCACACATGCATGCTGATGTGCTGCCTTCTTTTTTTTTTTTTTTTTCCAAAGCCTCCCCATTTATCCATTAGTCACCACCGCAGCACTGAAGCCGCAGCCAAGACTTCTTCTGGCTGCACAAGCTTCTATTTCAGCAGTTTGGCTTGTTTTGCTTTGAACTTTGAAATCCGACGCTGGTTTGGAAAATGTGCAGTTTGCGGGGGGTTTAGAGAAAAGAAAAACAAAAGGTCAGATGTGTTGCTGATTTTCCTGACGGACCGAGGTCACGTGTTGTTGTCTTTGCTGTTGTCCAGCTTCCTCACGGCTTAATGAGGCTTTTACGACTCTGTGCGTTGGGTCATGTGCAGCCTTTGGGGCGGCTGAGCTTCTACCTGAACAACAACGGGCAGCACAGATGTTCTGCTTCCATCATTATGATTAAATTATGAGATCAGCTATTACTCCTGTCATCAGAGGGTTTCTACAAACTGATGTTGTGCAACTCTTTTAAGTGCAAAAGAAAAAGAAGGATAAAACTTTTTCCTACTTAAATACAGAACATGTGGAAGACGCACTTCTTCACACTAGTGTCATGTGGTTTTTTAATCATGTTATAATGGGTCATTCTATGTAAAAATGAATCAAATCTGAGAGAAGTTCCATCAGAATCAGGGATCAGGTGTTTTTTTAATCTTGTTTTCTAAAACTTGTCATCTTCTGGCCACGATTCCTTGTGTGTCAAATATGTTTTTTGCTAAAAGAATCATTTAACACTCGCAAAATGTAAAGTTCTATATGAGATGACTTGTTGTTGTAAACATGCGCTATACAAATAAAATTGAATTGAATTGAATATATAAATCTTGAAAATTCCAGCAGTATCATTGTAAAGGATGTGCTGATACCCAGATTATACATCATCATTGTTCTACTTCACAATCTGAGGATGGAAACAGAACCAGAACTGAACACTATCAGAGGAGAATCTTAAAGACTTTTCAACAAGCTCTGAATGCTGCAAACTGGTTTGATCCATGAGATTGAACTGTTCTCATTGTTTTGTCTGCGTTTCACAGTCAGAAGATAAATTCAGCAGAGTTAAAATATGAGTATTGAAAAATGATTGTGTCTTTCTGCTCATTTGCTGTCTCTTTGTGATTGTTTTGTCTCTTTCTGTTCATTGTTTTGCATCTTTTAGTGGTTATTTGTCTTTTCAGCTTCTTCTTGTGGGTATTCTGTGTCTCTTACTTTCAGGTTGTCTCTTTGGGGTTTTCTGTCTTTGTGGTCATTGCATGTTTTTTGTGGTTGTTTTGTGTCTTTTTGTGGTTGTTTTGTGTCTCTTTTGGTTCATTTTGTGTCTGTCTGTGGTTGTTTTGTGCCTCTTTCAGTTTGTTTTTGGTATTTTTTGTGGTCATTTAAAATTTGCCGATATCAGAAAATAGTTTTAACACAGACGTAATCGTGTGTAGAAGATGATCCTGGTATCAAATGTGTGTAAAATGAACCTTTTATTGTCTATGACCAACCACCATCACACATGCTGATATGAGCCCTGAAAGTTTACCCAGAATGCACTTTTCAAAGTTTTCTCTGGTGAATTATCAGAAACCAGAAACACATCCAGGGTACCAATGATTGTTTCTGACTCCATGTTATAGACATTTTTAATGGAATGACTGTAAATCACAATTTGTTTAAATTCTTTGCTGATGAATCTCTGCTCTGTATTTAACCGTCTTCATTCTCTTTCTTGATCTGCAGACGTACATCGGCTCCATCCTGGCGGCGGTGAATCCCTACCAGCCGCTGCCCGGCCTCTACGACCGGCCGGCGGTGGAGCTCTACAGCCGCCACCACCTCGGCGAGATCTCCCCACACATCTTCGCTGTCGCCAACGAGTGCTACCGCTCGCTGTGGAAGAGGCTGCAGAACCAGTGCGTCCTCATCAGGTGTGTGGTTTGTACTTTACGGCATGTTTTTGGTTGTTTTAGACAGTTTCCGATGATTTCGCAAAAGGGATGCTAACTTGTGCACACTTTAAAGCTGCAGTTATATAGTTCTGGCCACTAGGGGGCAAAAAATCTCCAAATCCTGATTAGACGTTGGAGTTAGTTAACAATATTTTTGTGTCTTCATTTAGAAATTTTTCAACTTGTGCAGACTTTATAACCAGGATTTCTGCACCTTCCTTGTCAGAGGTTTTATCGGGTGGCCCTTTGAATGAACCTCCTTTAGTCGCTCCCCCTCAGCGCGCCAAACTCTTTGATCCAGTTTCAAGCCTCCTGGGCGTTTTGGCTGCAGCTCTGAGGATCTACATGCCACCAAACACACACAGCGTCACTATCTCCGTCCTCCGTCCGCCGCTTCACTTCCTCACATCCTTCCTCTTTGATTCCAGCTGGACAACTTTCGCTCTATTGTTTCATCTGACACACGGAGATGTTCTCTTCCCGCTGACTTTAAAAAAGAGAGAGATATTTTTACGTTCAGAAATGATAATATTTGCGCCCCGATTTAGCGAAGAGCGGATGCAGCGTGTTGCGTTTGTGGTCTTCGAGGTTTCCTGAATACGTGGCTGGAAGACTGGATGTTGTTCTGGCGACAAAACAGTCACAGAGGAAGCCAATTATGTAAGAAGACGACAGATATAATACACAAATATTTACACTTTAATAATCTCGAAGGAAAAAACTAAATGACATGAGAAGTGCAGAGTCAAAAAAAAAGTAGAAATTATGAATGAAATTAAATAAATCAGCTAAAACAAGGCAGTAAGAAGTACTGCTGGCAGTTATACTGAGGGAATACGTAACATCACACATGATAATAACATTAGCTAAAACTGAAATATTGCACATTTCGTATTGCACACGTGGCTGTTACCTGCCTGTAAAGAGTGCCGATATAAATTCATTTTATTGCCTTCATACAAGACTTTTAACTGAGAGCTGCTCCTGATCAGATTTTTCTGTGACAGTTTGCTCCACAAAATTAGCTTCTTCTGCAACAAAACTGTATTCTCAGTGTTGTTTTTAAGTCTTTATATATACATATATATATATTTTTTTGCCAGATTACGTTTCGAATCAACCGGTCTGTCGTTTATTTTACTGCCCCACTGTCGCTCCTTTTCAGTCAACCAATCATATAGTAAAAAGGAGCAGGACTTGTTGCCATGGTAACCCAGAAAACGGCGGCAAAGCGTCGAACACGCGGTGAAAGGGTCGGATTTTAATTCTAACCAAGTAATGTTTGTGCCTAAATTAACCAAGCTTCTAATAGGTAATTAATCTGAAAATGCTCAATGTTTATCCAAACCGAAGCCCGTGGTTCTGTGGCTAAATCGAACCAGAACAGCTAACAAGAAAAGTAGACAACAGCAGATACTTTTTTTGGTTTGTTTTTTTTCATTTTTAAAAAGGAAATGTCTCTTATTGTGGGTTTATCTCGTGTTTGTCATCTTTACTGTCCCGACTGTCACTTGGTAAATGGTAAATGGTCTGCACTTATATAGCGCTTGTCTACCTTAGCGGCACTCAAAGCGCTTTACAATGTTTTCTCATTCAGCCATTCACACACACATTCACACACCAATGACAACAGAGCTGCCATGAAAGGTGCTGCCTGCCATTGGGAGCAACTTTGGGTTTAGTGTCTTGCTCAAGGACACGTCGACTGTGGAGGGTAGTGGGATCAAACCACCAACCTTACGATCAGAGGACCAACTGAGCCACAGCAGCCCAGACAAACTGTGTCTCAATTTGGTGATTTTGTGAATCTTTGGGACAGTTTTGTCTCTGAGGTTATTTTGTGCCTTGTTTTTGTTGTTTTCTGTCTCATTTGTGCGATTTTGTGTTTAATATTTTGTCATTTGGGACAATTTTGTCTCCTTTCTTTAGTTTTATTGTCATTATATGTGCGAGGTTGCTTCCATATGGAGAAATTTACCAAGCTCGATTTGCGTTAATGTTGCCACACAGATACTGGAAATGGACACTGAACGGGAACGTTTGCACTTTTTCCCATCTAGATCTGCACACTGCAAACTGTCGTAGTTCTTTTTGGGGACACATCCATAGCTGTGAATTATGAATATTTTTTTTTAACTTTTGAAGTCAAATCAAATGTTCTACACGTACAAGAATCTGTTCCATATCAGTGTTTTTATTCTTACAGACAAATGTGAGCTATTTCAGTACTTCTCTGTCAGTATTTCTACTGATGAAAGAATCTGTTGTTAGTTCCATCCAGAGGAATTTAGACAATCTCAACTAGGACTTGGTTTAATACTTATTGATGTTTTTTTTTAAGAGTTTCATCTTTACTGCTGTAACAATGCAAGTTTAATCAAGTCTCATCACATCACATCTAGAGAAAGCAGCAGTGTAGAGTGACATCGAAGACATTTAAATTTAGATTATAGTTATTTTCATAGGTAGCTTTTATACACAGAGATGCATTTTCAGAGAGACTTTAAAATAATTACCCAGTTTCTTGTCTGCACACAAACCATGTTTTATCCCTTGAATGTGGAGAATCTCTGCAGTCTCACCTCACACGTTCGCTCAGTCGTCTCCTGGTCCGATTCGCCTTCTGTTCGCAACACAAACGGCCTTTTGTGTGACAGGATGTCGGTCAGTGGGAGGAATATGGAGGGATATGTGTCGTGGCGTGCAGAGCGAGGCGTAAACACAAACATGTCATATTGTCGCCAGAGAAGCTGCACAAAGCTGCACAAAGCTGCCATTCTTCATAACCCACCGGTTCTCTGCTGCATCTTCTCCTGCTGCCGCTTCCTTCCTGAGCTCTGCGTTCAAGCCACAGACGTTTCTGGAGGCCCACAGTTTACGAAAACACTTAATTGACCACAGAATAACTCAGAGAAAAAGAAAGGCTGCAATTTGGTTGCGTAGTTTTTCCGTGACAGCAGCAACGTGAAGTCATGCAGGCCGGAGAGGACGAACCGCCGACCACAGCCGTGACCTTTAGCTGTTGTCTGAGCTCAAACACAACCTGATGCTTTTCTGTCTGTTAAAGCAGAGTAAATAACACAGAGACTCTCCAAGACACACGGCAGCGCTCAGTTATCCACGGCTCGCTCTGATTATCTGCATATTCTGAATGTTTTGAGGTTCTTGTCTCAGAATTCAACTGGGTATAAAGTTACTAAATGGGGAAATAAATGTTATTGTAGTGACAAAGCAGGACAGCGTGTGGCTTCTTCTGAAAGAAACAACAACAAAAAAATCTAGAAAAAAACCCCCCTGAAAATCTGGCACCAAGAATGACAAAAAAAAAAACAAAACAAAACAATGAAAAGCAGTGTAATACTGTCATGTTAAAAACTGTTTAAAAATAATAATAAAAACAATTTATATATGATAATTATATATGATAATTTCATAGTTACACATTATAAGATCATGAATTTCTATCTGTAAAAATGGACATTATACACAGTTTAGTCAATTGTAAATTAATACTTTTTAAGTGATTCTATCAAATATTGTCTGTGATTTAAGAAAACTTGTGAAATCTGTAAAATAACAGTTAAAGAAATTATTTACCTTTTTTTTTTATTTGGATAATTCTTCTAATATCAGTCAAATTACAATAATTTTGGCCTGTTTAATGACTGAAACAACAAAATTTTAGAAGAACAAATTACTATTTATTACTATTTAGCATGTGGACTGTATTTACTTTTTTTTCTTCTTTTTTTTCCCCCTGAGGGTAAAGATGTAAATTAGTAGTTTGACAAAAAAAAAAAGGTCAAGCTCTGTAAAATAAAAGAAACTTTTCCAAAAAAATTTTAAAACAGTTTTATTATGGGCCGCTGCTATAGCTCAGCTGGTTGAGCTGGTGATCCATGTACAGGGCTGTCGTCTCTGATGCAGCGGCCATGTTTGAATCCAGCTCATGGCCTTTTGCTGCAACCCCTTCCCCCGTTCTTCTCCCCCACTTTCCTGTCTCTCTTTCAACTGTCCAATAAAGGCAAAAAGGCCAATAAAAGAACTTTTTTTAAAAAAAAGAACAGTTTTATTCTAACATTATTTAAAATTTAAAGTTACATGCAATCACTGTTCATTTCTTGAGATTCAGCTTTTAGCCGAAAGCCTGTTTAAAAATACTGCAGATATTATGATAAGTTATTAAATAAACCTGTAACAAAGTGTAATAATCAAATAATCTGATCTGTGTTTATATGTCCAGACTCTCTCGGACCCCAGACTGCTCACTTTTAAATGCTGCTTTTACTGTGTGAGAGGTTTTACTGCCTCTGAGCTCCTAATCAGCTGCTAATTGTTGCCCTCAAGCAAAGCGCTAAACTTCCAGCTGCACCGGTGGAGCTGCAGCACAGGGAATGTAAAGTTGATCCAAAGAAATAATAAAATACATTTTATGTATATATATATAAAAGGTCTGTAGGTCTTCTCCTTTTCCACTCACATAACTTTTGTTTTAGATTTGACTCAAAACTCTAAAAATAAAACCAGTACATTTCAGATTTTCACTAGTTGAATCTTGAAGTTTGCAATTTATTTGGGTTTTTTTTTCTTCTAAATTCTAAACTAATAAAACAGATACCCCTCAACCCACCTAAAAAAAAGAAAACAAGTGTGTAATATGATAAAATACAAACACCTCAAATAAAATAAATCAAATCTCTTGTAAAAAGAAAAAGAGACAACAGATCAAACACTGTGAAACTTCAGCAGCACTTGAGTTCACAAGCAGTCAGTTTCAGGATGTTAAATCTAGTTTTCAGATTTTGACGAGTCATGAACATCTGCCGGGAAACGAATCCCTTCAGCGTCAATCTAACTTTCTGGAGCTGCAAAAACTGCACAAGATCTGTAGTAGAGCAGTCAGAGGTGCAAACACAATGGCAGTGAAGTCATATTTTGGGAGATTGTTTACATCTCCTCGGCGTTTTCAGAGCCCAGAG